AGACAAGAACTTGTACTGTTGGATAATGAGATTGCTTTCAATGAGGCTATTATTGATGAAAGAGATCAAGGGATACAAGAAATCCAGCAGCAAATTGGCGAGGTGCACGAAATCTTTAAAGACTTAGCAGTGTTGGTACATGATCAAGGAACCATGATTGGTAAAAACTGATACTAAAATCTTGTCGTGATACAACTCTTAGTTATATCCTCAATCTAACACCTATTTTAATGTAGATGATATTGGTACTCACATCGATAACTCCCACGCTGCAACTGCACAAGGAAAATCTCATCTCGCAAAAGCCTCAAAGACACAAAAATCGAATTCTTCCCTGGTAAAATTATTCAAGGCCTTGTGATCATACTGTGAATGTGTGTGGTGAGGAATTTAAGCTATAAAATTCTTCTTCCCATTGGTTTTTTCCTTGCAGATGTGCTTGCTCTTGGTGATTTTTGGTATCGTACTCCTGATCGTTATTATAGTGCTCACGGTTTGATTTTACCGCAACTCCTAAAAGCAAGAAAAACTGCTTCATCATCAATCAAGAAGCATCAATGAGTGCATCTTTGTCACTTCACGCCTCTTTTTGTTCTTACCATTTAGTCTCTTGGACTATTGGTCCTTTGTATCTTGTGTGCAAGTATATAGAGAAGTTCGACTTGGTTCGAAATCAGTTTCAGTTTGGTTTGAGGGTGTCTGAGTGTTGGTTTTGTAAGAAAGAGTGTTGTTGCTTTCTATGTGTAATATTACAGACCAGAGTGGTTGATGAAGTGAAATTCCTGGTTTTTATCAGCTAATCATGAATCAATGTGAAGCTTGAGCCAATGAATTTTGCGCATATGTATGATTCTCAGAACAAAGTATGAACAAATCAAAATCATTTAGAAAAAAGCAAGCCTTGATTGAGATAACAAGCAGCGGTAGGATCCTTGAGGCATCCACAGAACGCTTCTTCATCTTTCGGAAACGACTTTGGCAATGGATGATCAGGAGTAACACCGACCTATTCGAAAACCAGAAAGAGTATAAATTATGTATGTATGAAGACACATAGTCACTACAGGACATCGTGATACGTGTAAGAAAGTAGTTTCATACCTTGTCTATATCAGTGTGAGCTGGTGTTTCGTATCGAGCAACTGTTACTGCTAACCCCGAACCATCCGAGAGCTGAAACACCGACTGTATCTTACTGCAAAATGTGTTTTAAGTCTCAGAAATATTACAAAAGTTCAGTCTATGAGGAGAAATATGTAACAAAATCGCCTTTTTGTTTACCCTTTTCCGTAAGTCGGTTCTCCATAAACCAGAGCCCGTTTGTTATCTTTCAAGGCCCCCGCTAATATCTCGCTGGCACTCGCGGTGCCTTTGTTAACCTGGAAAAGAGAAAGATTGTGTGAGAGCTAAAATATCTACATTAAGGAAATAGATTGATTCAAGGAAGGAAGGTAACTTATACCAGAACAGCAAGAGGCTCAGAGGTTGCTATAGCATTGCTTCCATCAGTATCATATATATCTCGAACTCCACGACTATCACAAATATACACAATCACTCCTTTATCTAACCTGCAGATAGCAAAAGTTAAATGTTTTTATTACGAGACCTGTGGATTCTGAAATCTTTCTGATTCTTCGGATTGGTGATTTACGAGGTTTTACCAAATCTTAGCAATCTCAATTCCTTCAGGGAAAGAACCTCCGCTGCAGCAGAAAAGAAATTCCAAGTGTCAAGAGAAGGCTGTTGTAGAAACAAAACGGAGGTTTATTTTTGCTGTAATGATCACCTATTATCTCGAAGATCCAAGACGAATGCATTTACATTGTTGCCTCTCAAGGTCTCAATTGCTTCCTTTACCGCACCTACAAAAATGTGTTCGACTTTGAGAGATAATAAACAACAAAGTACACAAATTTGTAAGAAGGAATCAGTAACGTCAAAAGAATGCATACCTGAAGCATTTTGATTGAATGTTGTTAGCTTGATATACCCAATCTTAGGGGAATTACTCCCAGAACCAGGAATTTCACATAATCTTGACTTCACTGGATTCACGGAAACTCGCTCTCGCCTGAAAAATAACGACAATCAGAGGGACTTAACGAACGTGAAAAAAAGATAAATGTAACTAATGTAGGGATGGGGAAAGTACGTCAAAGATAAGAATCTCGTTTCAGGTCCACTGCGAATTGCCAGCTCCACTACGCTTCCTTCAGGTCCCCTGCATTTGAGCCAAATCATTATCCCGATGTGAAAAGCTTCCACATTTCATAATTCAGAATCAATATCTCATCGCAACCGATCTTTCAAAATCTAAAGGAAGGATCAAAGTGGAAATGTGGCTCACTGCAACATCTCTGCAGCATCGTAAATGGTCAGAGTTTCTGTAGTTGTATTGTCAATTCCTAGAATAACATCTCCGGGAGAAACTCCCGCCCTATTTGCAGGACCTCCTGGAGCAGCTGATATAACAACAAGCCCACCGGGTGAATCATTTGATGCAGCGGGGTAACCTATCGATAACCCAACACCCGTGACCGCTCCTTGAGTTCCAGACTGCCTTCAACCAAATCATTTACTACATCTTTACATGCAATCTGTATTTGTTGTATCAAGACCAACACTAGAGGAATTCTTACCCGCAAACTCTTAAACTTTCCGGGCTCCAAGAATCGAGTAAAAGGATCATCTAGTGTTGCAACCATTTTCTTAATAGCCATGTCTAAACACAAACAAACACCAAAATCAGAAGCAAAGTTGAACTAATTGTAAAATTTTAAAGCTTTGTATAACAAATTCACACATACAAGTCTCTTCTCGAGTGTTCATCGGCTCATTTCGTAAAGCATTCTCTCTGTAACGAAACCAGCTTTGTCCGTTAAAGGTTTTATCGATATAAGCACGATCAATTGTTCTCCAAGCCTCTAAGAATAGAAGATTCTCTTCACTAAGACCCCCTAGAGAGACAAACGAAATCAAATTGCAATCCCCAAATCTTGAGATTGTGTCTCAATATGTTAAAAAAAAAACCAAACTTACATGATGGTGAATCAGCAGTGGTAACAACAGAAATGGAAGAGACAAGAAGAACAGAGACTAGTCGAACTAAAGCAACGGAGAGATTCTGTCTGAAATTGACTGAAGATTTCATCATAACCTTCCCAGAAAATTTCCTATGATCATTTCTATCGAGAAGATACAGAAATCTATTACAGACGAACACAAGTCTCGAGCTTGAATTGTCTCTACAATTTCGAGCATATCTAAAGTTCTTAGCTTGAGATACCCACAATTTCTCCTGCAACGATCAAAAATTTATTACAGATAAACAGACACAAATTGAAAGAAAAAAGAGTAAACTTTGCTCAAGAAAGTACCTGGATTGAGAAATTAGGGTTTATATGATTGTGCTTAGTAAAAATTGGGGATAAAGAAGAACTCGCAAGGACCTCCATTGAAATGAGCTTCCCCGGGAAATCCTCTGTTTTCCTTATCGAAACTATTATGATTCTACAAATTGTCACTTTCTACAAAATGGCTATTTTTATAAAATAACTCTTCTTTTTTTTTTTTGGTAAAATATAAATAACTCTTCTATTATCCAAGGAAATAATTCTGCACAAATCACAACTTTATACAAAAGAGATTTAAAAGGTTCTTTTTGGTCCAAAACATGAAGTTAGTCAGTAGAGAAAAGACTATACATTTTGACACTAAAAACATTTATAATTGTTGCTCTGTCTCTGATGTGAGTAAACCCAACTGTTCTATAAGCTTATCCATACGTCCACCATTTGTGTTGTTGATGCTCTCAAGTGTTGTTTCATCTCCAAGAACAGGGCTTTGTGCTAGATACTCTTCCAAGAGATCACAATTACTCATCAGTTCATCGATCTCGGGGTCTTCAGCTATTCCGTCAAGCTGAATCGGGACTGAACCACCGTCAAGGAAAGGATTTGGAGAGATGAATGCCTCTGAGACATTAGTCTCTGTATTCATGTAGTTTTCGGTAGCAATGTCGCTAATGCTCTCTCGTGTCATTTGTGGCATCTGTGAAACCGCTGGCATTACGGTGTCCGGAAGGGGATTTGAAGGCTGTCCCGATGGTACGGGTAGTACATATGCTTGTGACTGTCCAGAAGTTGTAGGCTGTACCTCTTGAAGAGTAACTCCAGATACCTGATTTGGCGATGAAAACCCATCAAGAAACGGAAACTCATCCTCTGTGTTCATGATATTCCACATCATCGACTTTGCTGAATCGCTTCTTACAGGCTGATACTTAACTATCTGTCCATCTGATGCGGCCGAGCTATGGCTACTACTCTCATCCTCTCTGAGTCTCCGCTTCTTATTAGCCTCGGTCACATGCATACTATTATCAACCTGCTTCTGTAAGAACTGAGAGAGGAAAGTCGGATTTTGGACAGCTTTGGCAAGGAAAGACATAATCTGTTGTTGTCTTTGCTCCATAGATTGAAGACGTTTCACCATACTCTGAAGTTGATTATCTGTTGATTGTTGTTGTTGACGTAACTTGACGAGTTCTTGCATCAAAACGTTCTTGTCTCTTTTAAGCTGCTCAACTTCTTCCTCAAGCCCAAATTTCCCAACCTCTACACATGAAGATACTGATACAGCCATTGAACCTTGTCCCTGAGTCACTTTCTGAGATTGTGGATGACTACCACCATGTCCTTGAGCAGATTTTCTCCGGCTTATTGTCTTTAAGAGATGTTTTTGACCTCTTAAGAAACCTTCATTAGCAAATTCCCACCGATCTGGATCCACTTTCCTAAAACCCTAATCATCAAATATAAAACTCAATTTCAGTCTAATGAATCACTAAGAGTTCCGAGATCAGAAGCAAATTAAGCACAACAATTAGGGATTTTAGAAACTTACATAGGTATTCAATTGGCGAACAAAGCTGGAGAAATTGTTGTGTTTGAAGTATTTCGGAAGAAGATCACGAGCAAACTCCGGTGGATTCCAGACGACGAAGCTATTATTCGCCGGACCCCACGAAACAATCGAATCCGTCGCCGGATCTTCAACCATGTCATACGTCTTGCTCAGAAAAGGAGGAGGTAAAGCGTTTGCATTAAGCAACGTCGCTGGATGCGGATTCCGCGACGGCTCCGGCGCCGACACAGCCTCGCCGCTATTCGCTTCTCCGCCGGTAAAACCATCCATTATCGT